GGGTGAACAGGGAATATGAAATACAAGCCAGTATTACCATTACCATTCTGCTTCTTGGGAAATATTCCTGACTGCATTTTTAAGTGCTATTTTGCAATGGGTGAATGAAGCTGTTATGATTTACTTGTTAATTAGTCTGATATTTTAAATCTGTCCAAATAAGAAAGTCTGGCAAAACAGCTGAAATAAATAAACAGTAGAACAAAATGAAAAATCTGGTTTTCTGATTTTTTTGTAACATTTTAGTTATGCAAAATTACAATGGCAAAAAATGTAGATGTCAGCTTGTCTGAGCTTGTGGATGTTCTGTTTTTCTACCGTCTGTTAAAACATTATTGTTGCTGTCTTCTTTTCATTCGTACACCTTGATGTTCTCACCATTTTGGAATTCCTTCAGAAACACACTTTCTTTAATCCCTTTAAGTGGGATGGGACCATGAACTTGGCACGCTATTCTGATATCATAGCACAAAGGAGACTGGTGTGTGTGTGTGGATTAGGTTTATATTACATTGTGGGGACCAAATGTCCCCCACAATGTAATAAGCACCTGTTTTTTTTACATTGATCTGTGAATGCAATCAAAAAACTAAAAATGCCTGGGTAGGAGTTAAAGTCCTCATGCTGGGTGCTGGGATTGGAGTTTTCCCCATAGAAATGAATGGAGAGTCTCCACAAAGATATAATTACAAACCTGTGTGTGTGTGTGTGTGTGTGCGCGCGGGGGAGGAGGGGGGGGGTGTGAGAGGCTGGTGAAAAGGAGGAACAGCACCACATCCAGAACAGATCTGTGAGAAATTCTTGGAGTTGAAGTGACGACACAAAAGGCAGCCCAGACTGGGTGGGTGGAAGAGGAGAGCCTCCCCTGTCCTCTTGGCAGCTGCAAGTTAATTATACAGAGACTATTTCAATGGAAGGATTAGTGCATTCACCAGAAGAAAAGGCAGGGAAGACTGCTTCACTTCTCCTCCTCTCCCAGCGGAATATTCTGTTCTCTGGCCTCCCATTGAATATGCAGAATTTAAATGTTGTGAATCAGGAATCATCTGCAAATCACCTGATAAGCTGTCTGGCGTCCTGGAGACTCTGTCCTTGAAGCCCTCACAATGAAGCAAATGGTTTCTTTAAAGGATTTAGGCTATTTGTTGTTTTGACCAGCAGTGGCTGCTTGGCATTTTCAATGAAGGACAAACTTTCTCTTTAAATCTTTCATTGTGAAGGTTTTTTTTTTTTTGTTGTTCCACCGAAAACTATTTCAGTTTTTGGTGTCCCTATTATGGGTAAATATTTGAATGATTTGGTGTTTTCTTAAACATTTTGTCAGATCCTGTTTTGTTGAGACTCTTTAATGGACTTGCTGGGTGGTCACCAACTTGGCACTTGTAGGTATGATCCTTTGCAAACCCCAAGGACACATATCAGGCACAGTTCTGGAAATCTACTTTGTTGGAACGGGCCCAAAAATACAAGGAAGAAAAAAAGTGTGTTAAAAAGCTTTAAAATCCTAAAATAATATCTCCAGGTGTTTGCCGATATTATGATTGTAACTTCACTTTTCAAAGCTGTACCTGACAGCATGTTGTGTGAACATGGTGAATATCAATACCTTTATTAAGTTTATTTACCACTTTACATTTTAATTACCTTTTAGACTTATGGCTATAAAAAAAACTTTGGAAGAGCGATTATCCATTCCTGAAATGAGACTATATCATGATTGCATTAATGACTATAATTAGTTACATACCTTAAAACACTTATTTGCTTTATTTTTTATATGAGCACCTCTTTGGTGCTTGAAAATTCTGGTAGACAAAGGCAAGGAGGGGCACCAAGAAAGGTCAGCCGTCATACAGAAGCCCAAATTCACCCTGAAGCCCCTATTTCCCCCCATTCCAGCTGCTCATTTAGCTTCTCCAGAAGGTCTTTTCCATGCAGTCCACCTGTCTGTCACCACCCCTATTTCACCCTGATAGGCAGAAAATGGAGATGACACCCTTCACCAAAGTAAGACATCATTTCTGAGTTCCATTCCCCTCTTTTGGGCTGATTGCGCACTGCGCTGGGGCTCATTTGCTTCTGCTCACAGTCTGTCCTGCTCACCATGACCCTTTGAGTTTCAATCCACCCACCGCCTTTTTATACATCTGTCTTCATACTGTCTGTATCAGTTCTCCTAACTCTATAATTCTGTGGTCTTCTGCCTTCTGCGTCTGCTTGATAAATTTCTTGATAAGATTAACTTTAAACTATGAAATTACACGGCGAATTACAGAATTCATGTTTAATGCCACAAATATTGTTCCCATATTATTTTTATTTGCTGTGTGTAATGCTGTGGGCACCAAACACCATGACTTGCAGTTTGAATTGCTTGTTCCCCCGATGTCCTGCAGATCTCCCTCGACAGTGCAAAGACATACAGGTATGTGAATCTGTATGTTTAAGTTGTGTGACTTCCATGTGTTAGACTGGCCTCTTACCCAGAATGCTCCCTTGCCTTGTTGCCTGTACTTCCTGGGATAGACTCACAACCCCCCTCTCCACCTTATACTGGAAAAGCATTTCAAAAATCTGGATGGATCATACTTTTACTTTTGGTACATGGTCTAATTACACTAGAAGCCCTGGTCTCCTTTATTTTTCCAGCTATATGTATAGTTGTAGGTTCTGTAAGTCACTAATATGTGGTGCTCACATGAAAAATATATCTTCAGCTGTATTACAGTGCTCACAGCCAAATCCCAATTCCCAAAATATCCACCTTGTATAAACAGCACTATGCAAAAGTCAAAGAATAAATTTAAAAGCTATTTATCTGGGTAGTAAGTGTATATTTGCTTAGAAAAATACAGAATAAGAATGTGTTCTAATGGAAACACAACAAAAAGTAACAAAAAGCTTTGACTCCCAAAGTGTCTGTGTAGGTTCTCAGTTGTCCAGAACATGATAATCTGAAGGACTTGAATCAAAGGCAACTGGGTTTTCAATTTCTTGAAGATGTTTCACCTCTCACCCGAAAAGCTTCTTCAGTTCTGAAAGTCTGATGGGAAGTTCCAGGTGTTTATCCTCTACTGGGGTTGTCACCTTGAAAGTTGACATACCTTGCTGATCAACGGGTTGTTAGGGGCACTTGGGGCCAGGTGTGGATCAAGGTGTGGAACCTGAGCCAAGGTGTGAACCATTTACAGGTGGTTCCCAAACATCTCTTGGGGTAGCCCCGCCCAGGGAATTTTCATTTTACAGGGTTGTTTGGGACAATTTATTTATATTCATGAGTGAAGCTATCTGATTGGTCGGTGAACATGCTTCCATCGACATGTGCTACCTGTTTTTTCAGAGTGGTTTGAAAAGTCATTAATATTCACGATAGAATCTGATTGGCCAATAAACATTGTCTAAGGCATTCACAGGCCAATCTGGTAGCGCTTCTCTCATGAATATGAATGAGTTTTCCCAAACCACCCTGTAAAACGAAATTTAGCCCCCAGCCATGCCATTTATTCATTAAATTTCACCACCAGCTCACTTAATTAACTTAGTTAAATAATTTGATGAGACCAATAATTTGATCAGTCAAATATGATATGCTAGTGGTCGATTCGAGTTTGAATCTCAGGGCTTTCGACAAACACACAGAGTAACGGGCCTACTTGACGCTCATTCAATTAAAATGTGGATCTGATTGTCTGCTGCTGTTTCATGTCAGTGGTATGTCAGCGTACCGAGTCTGTCAAAGATTATTCAGACAGATATATAGTAGAACGCCCCTGCAGGTTTGATGTATGGCCGCAACCAAAAATTCGTCTGCAGAATCTGCTGAACAATAACAGAGCTCCTTGGATTTATGTGGCAGCAGTATTGCATTTTTGATGATAAGTTTATCTGTGTAAAATCTAAGCGCAATTCCCCCGGCTCACTCCTTTCAGTATTTGCTGTCTTACCTCATTCATGTGTCTCATTTTGCTTTCACAGTCAGTCAGCCTGTCTGCTGTTGAACTGCAAGAATGTGGATTTCACCCAATTTTAACTGTGCATGCTAGGGATGGTAAGATTTATCGATATGCATTGGTGCACCAGCATAAGCGTTCACAATGCGGCTGTCCCAATAAAAAAAGTGTGCATCGGATACAATTTGGGATGACCTTGTGATGCATCATTTGTAACATATTTGCATTGGTAAAATTGATTCACTGAAATAGCGAGTTAAATCATTTTGCTTCATTGATTTTGTATTACTCATTTAGGGAGCAATGGGCATTACTCATGTTTTTGGGGGTGTTTATGCTTCTAGAGCATAGGAGAGCAAGGCTTTTTTTTGCATATCTGATTGTGTTTGTAAACTGCTGTGTGCAAAAGCCAGTTTTCTGTGTCTGTGTTTGGGAAGCTAAAATATGGCTCCTGGGTCATCTGACTTTTAGGGGAATAAAATTGAGCCATTTGTTTGTTTAAATGTTGAAGAATATTTGGTAATGAGCTGGGTGGAAGTTTATTTGGTTCATTTAAAAGATTTTGATAAAATGTAATATGTTTAGGGCCTTCCTCTGTTTGCTATAGGAAAGTTAAGCCAGTAACAGGTTAATATAACTTGTTATAATTGTGTTGTATTTGCCCATCTTTCAAGTACACTGAAAAGTTTAATTTGTGATTATATGTGTGTGTGTATTAGAAGGGCTTTACTGCTATCTATCTGTCTAGATTGTTCTGCTATGAGTTGCCTAATTTAGGAGATATCGGCCGTAGAAATATCGGCCTTCTCTCGAGTATAACGAGAGTTACTGGCATTGTTAAAGCGCCAGAAAATATATATCTGAAAAATGAAACAGCAATGTCTCTTAACAGAAATCATGATTCAGTCATTGACCATAATTCCCATATTTTATAGTGAGCAGTTTACTGTAGGAACTATTTTCTTGTACCGAAAACCACAAACCAATCGTATCACTGTGCGGAAGATACGATCGCGAGCACCACGGCGATATTTTCTGCGTACTGAAACAATTGTTTTGTAGTGTTCCGCAGAAGAAGACAGGTCCTACATTACACTGCTCGCTATAAAATATGTGGATTATGTTGAGTAACGATTTCTGGTAAGAGAAATTGCTGTTGAATGTTTTAAATATATATATATATTTATATTTTGTTATTTTTAATAATCACAGAAAGAATACCATTCATTCCCATTATGTTCGAGAAAAGCCTGACATTTCTGCGGCCTATGATCTACAAAACTAGGCAACTTCCAGCAGAACAACGTAGATTTAGAGATTGTACTAAATCTGCTCAACATATCTTTTATCAGTTTTGGGGTGAATTGCCTCTATAAGCACAACACAAGTTCAAACATTAGGCATAAAGATGCTAACGTGATTTTTTTAAATGTAATCTTTACGTTATGAATTATCATGTGCACAAGTCAAATTTGTACTGGCGTGGCTTTATTTGAAAGATCTGTGGGAACCCAGCACAGTTTGTTACCCTTAGGTAAATGTATGTATCTGTAGGCATGAAATAATATTACCATTATCGCCTCAATATTTAACTGTATCGTTTCTGGTTTAACGAGTTGTCAATTCAGTTAAATGCAGTTTATTGTTTTTATGACGGCAAAAAAAGAGAAACTTTAGAAGTCAGCAACCTACTCTGGGTGTAGTGGCAGTATTCAAAAGCATCAGTAAATCAGCACAACTGTCAAGGTCCCTGTCCTGCCCGCTTCTGTATCGCAGTTCCCCGATTTGGGTAAGTGGTGCCACTGGCCATTTCGTTTAGTGTTAGTTCCTTATGTGTTATATTAGTTTTGCTAACTGCTGCATGGCTTATTGGCCTGAGCTGGTGGCTGTGTTACTTAGAACTGACCTTTCTGTTGTGGGTTTGAAACTGACATTTATGTTTCTTTATTTATCTGTATATTCTTGGTTAATTATGTATTCCTGGCATTTTCCATTTGCAGTATTGTTCAGTTACACTTGGTATCTAAACTTCTCATGTTTATTCTTTTGATCTTTTGATTGTTCCTAGTACTTGTCACTGCCCACACCTGTCTCTGGTTTATCCTCATCATGTCTGTATTGAAGTGGCTGCCTGTGCTTTAGTCTTCAGTTGGTCATTGTAGTTATTCCAGTGTAGTTGTTTCTGTGTTGCTCCCTGCTTTAGATTGTTTTCTACTGTACCAACCTGCTTGTGTTTTAGACCCTTTGTGGTTCCTATTGTTTCTTGGTTTTTGTTTTTACCAAAAAATGAAGTCCCTTGGTTGTTTGAACCGCAATGTGGATTTGTTCCTTTGTCCTCCCGTCATGCCTGTTTGCAACAACATGTGCCATTTAATTTTGTATTGAATTTTTCGCCTGTCTTTGTGGATAACAGCCTTGTAAGGCAGAATGCCCTGTAACCATAATGCATTATATGCATTATAACACAATCTTTCCCACTACCCATGCAACAGATATAAGTATATATATATAATAGAGAGAGAGAGATAGATAGATACAGATGTGTGTGTGTATTTATACACACACAGTATATATTAGGTTTGGGAGATTTGTGGGAAAACTTTAATATGCCGCCAGGTCTCTGTGGTGATTGCTGTTCCTGAGAGCTGCTTACGGGAAACTTGTCCCCGAGGAGCTCTCTGGTTTCTGCTGAATGAAGAGGTGCCATATTCACAGCAATTAGGGAGCCTAACCTCATGCACATCATGTGCACGCAAGCCCAGTCTATCACAATACAACAGAGGGGAGATCATAGTTTGGGTTGGGCCCCTAAAAAAAACCAAAAAAAGACAGAAACTGCCTCATGACATGTGTGCAAGAAACGGTCCTCTGCAGCCAGCATTCACAGATGACATAGTGTGAGGCAGTGGCACTTGTCAGTTTGCTTGGAAACCTTTCACCAGCTTGGTTTGCTGCAAATTTGTTTGTGATGGGCTACTGTCACGGTGAATCCTGCTGAAATACTTCAGTGTTGGCCTGTGATAAGAATGCTTGACTTAAGTTGGCTGTGTGCTTCAGTCAAAATCGATGGAATTGACGTCGTTTTGGCAATTCAATGTTGTGTAACACGTAGTCACCATTGTGATCAGCGTTTCGGCGCACCGCCTGTGCAGGGTCCCGGAGGTGAGATTTTTCATTTGTTCTAATCCCACCTACTGAGTGCATTTGGCTGCCATAAATGTGATGCCACAAGGTTGGTCAGCAAGATTAATTGTATGGTTACTGACATGCTTTGCACTGCACTGCACTGCACTTTAAATCTTGTAAATTAATATATGTATTTGTGTATTTATGTTAATTGTGAGCGTCATAACTATGGAATGCATGGTGTGGAATGCATGTGTTTCGTTAGCAGGTAACTGTGGGTTTTGTTTACCTTGTTAACTTCCCTGTCTGTGGTTCTGTTAGTATTAAAACAATAGTGGCTGTTAGTTAAGAGAGCAACTTCTATTTTAAAAGAGCCGTCATCCCCTCTTAAAACGACTCATGTACTCGCCACTATGCGTTTTGCGCCCCCTAGGGTTGTAACATGACATGGAACAAACAAGGTGCATCAGATAGTTGGGGTCAACATGTTCCATTTCATTTTGTGCAGATGTCATTTGTAGTATAAGGCCTGCTTAAAGTGAACATCAACGGTAAACTTTTCAAGATAACATGCATTTCATTGATTGCAGGAGGCAGTTCTTGATAGAGATTGGTCAGGATGTAGGTGCTGTGAATTAAACCTGGCATCTCATACATGTAAAACACGTGCGCTCCCTCTGAGCTACATGCCCATTTGTGCTTTTGGTCGTGAAATCACTAGAAGCCAGCTGTGCATCTGAACTAACCTCTTACCAAAGGCAATGAGATCCAATGAAGTACTGAAAGATATAATTACATAAGAAATTTACAAATGAGAGGAGGCCATTCAGCCCATGAAGCTCGTTCGGGGAGAACTCAACTAATAGCTCAGAGTTGTAAAATCTTATCTAGCACTGATTTAAATGAACCCAGGGTTTTAGCTTGCATTACACTAACATGAGGACTATTCCATACTTGAACTACATGCTGTGTAAAGAAGGGCTTTCTCAAATCCATTTTTAAATGTTTTCCTGCTAATTTCCACCTATTGTTATCATGTATTCAATTACAGGGTCTTGGCGATGCACAGGACACAAGGCAATTGAACAGCCTAGATAGCCTGCCAGTCCTTCACAGGGCGCACCCACCCAAAGGAGGAAACCAGAATACCCAAAGGAGTATCACACATTAAAGGGGAGAATATACATATTTGGCTGTAAAAAATGGCGTTTCAGTCTGTATTTGTGCATATTTAAAGGTGTGAAATTGTATCAGATAAAGTTACTCTTAAATGACTGCAGTAATGTGTTGCACAGAAATTAAATTACCTTGATATTTAAATAATTAATTTGTTAAAACTGAAGATGTAATTTCTGATCTTTGGTGCAACAACAGTTCCTTTCCTAGGGCTACAAGCTAATACTTGTTGATCATGAGTTAAATTAAAGAGGATATTGCATTAAATGTGGTCAGTTCACACCAACACGCTGATTCTTCCACCCTTTCTATTCCTGTGCAATAATTTACAACATACCCACCAACTCACTCAGGTTTTAGGCTGTGAATCTCAACTGTATTCCCATGGCTGCCAATTCCAATAAGACCTTTCTGAATTGTAAAATGTTTGGCATTGGCAGTGAGAACATAGTGAGCGCTTAGTTTAGAGATGCATAGCGTCGCACTGTGTTCTGCGAATGCATAAAATATATATATCCGTGTCATCATAAGTAACGTTGGGTAAGAACTCAAAGAGCACAGCAGATCAATGCATGATCCAAGCTTATGCTGCCTGACACAGGAAATATTCTGCACTATAAACCGGAAACACATGAATATGAAATCATTGATAATTTATTCACAGCCAAATTCTTTGGGCAGAAATTGCACTTCGAAATAGCAACCAGCCATCAAATAAAAGAGGCATGTGGAGTTTTTTTTCTTTCTTTAACATGCGCTGCAAGGGCAAATACTATCCATCAGTTTTATGAGGGCTCTGAGCTAGTTGCCATGGTGATGATAGTATTTTTTTTTATTTCCTGCATCCTTCTTTACAGCAGTAGATGGTGTGGAAACGTCTGTCCCTCAGATCTTTTAATCATGCTATTTCTATTGATATATCTTCTCCGCAGAATGTGTAATGGTATGTAAACCATGCTTGTATGTGGGTTCTGACTGAAGTCACGGTAATCACTGATGACAACTCTGCAGATGTAACGGCTAGGCCCATATAATTGCTGACAGTTCTGAGAGGCTTGTTGCTTGCAGTGCTGCTAAGCCTGTAGGCAAAATTGAACCTAATTGGAGCAAATATCTTTAGGCCTGTCAATCAAAGACTAATATCAGATTAGTAGAATCAGAACAGGACATCATCTCTTAGTTTTAAAAGGTGATCATTTAAAAAATAGACATATGAAACTGAAATTGCATTTGACATATTGACTCAGATAAGGGCAACTAACCAGCTAAATACTGGAACATGGTGCCAGTATCTCATCATCCCCCGTATTCTGTCCGCTTATGATGTACTGGTTCTTGGGAGGTTCTTTGCGATGTTTGGCGGGGGGTGGGTGGGGGGTTGGTGCGGGCTGAAGTCTCTTCAATGAATACCCAGGACAGATGCTCATGCTAGTATTTATTTTAAACAATATGCAGATTATTTTGGGTGACAACTTCTCAGTGTTAAATGTGGAAAAAACGAAAATCTCTGATTTATGTTTGCCTTTAACGAATGTTAATTGGCTTTAATTCCACCCTGAAATGTTACAAAACCTCTGGATTCTCCGAGAGAGAATCCACCATGACTGATTCTGCATTCTGTTGCCAGCCTCCCATATCCCATCCTGAAATCTCCCATTGTGCAAACCAGTGAGCAGGACCTTATTTTCCTCAAACGCATAAAAAACAGACTTTATGATCGGGCTAGGTACCCCCCCCCCCCTTCCCATTTCCCTCAGTCGATTCTTTTCGGGCTCTGCCAGCAGCTGGAAACCAGATCCCTCTTGGTCTCCATTACTCAGAGCTGTAATGAGCCATGC